TGGCAAAAGTGCTTGGCAAAAGTGCTTGGCAAAAGTGCTTGGCAAAATTATGTGTTTCTATATATTATAATTATTATATATATATATATCATATATCCAGTAACTTAACTACTGTACCCAAGGCTTGGTGATAGGCACTGCCCCCACTATTTTTGGAGCTGGCGAAAGTGCGGTGCAGTCCACTCGACGAAAGGGCTGAGTGCCTCTCCACTTGCAACAACAGCTTTGAGCAGGTTGGAGACCATCCCTCTTAGGTTGGAGGCCATCGCTAGTGGGTTACCTAGGTTGGAAGCCATCGCTCTTAGGTTGGAGGCCATGCGGCACTCAGCAACTTACGACGCATTTTCGTCGTCAGTCTCGTCGTCAGATTCAATGACCTCCATGGCCATAGTGTCCTCTTGGCCCAAGATCAACGTCGTAGCCTGTGACGACGGAGTTGGAACCAATGCCTGCTTGAAGTGCCTTCTAGAAGCACCAAAGTCGCCCACCAGCAAGGTGGCCAACAAAGCTGACCCGACAACTGGAACACTCATGCAATTTCCTGCCAGCCGGCCACTATAAAAATGGTCTTTGTTTTCGTTTCTTTGAAACCAGAATCTCAGAAAAAATGGCACAATCGTTATTCACAGACGGGCTGAATCAATCCGAGTCTCCAGTGAGCATGCTCCAAAGACGAGGTTTGGAAAAGCCAGCAAAATTCATCTTGCGTACGTCGAACCCGTGCCTGGATTTTTTCATGCAAGACTCAAGTGAATACAAAATTCGGAATGCTGAATGAAAGAGAACAGTTAGCTCAATTGAGCTAACTAACAAAAGTTGAGCTGCATGGCTAGCAGTTCGTACCCATGAAGCAGCCTCCCCTCGCGGTAGCTGTAGATCCTGGAATTCGTAGTCAACCTTGACTCGGCCCGGCTCTCTGAACATCTTGACCGACTCTTGACCCATTACCCCATGTGACCATGTGCCGCTGCCTTCTCAGGCAAGCAAGACACTAATTGCGTAACACACTGCATGCTGTGTGAGGAACGAGGGAAGAAAACCGGAGCTGGTGCAGGCCTGTCTTTCGTAGGATTTGGCAGCGTCCAGCAACAGTTTGTTCAGAATGTCGTCCCTCAATGATGGCTTCAAGCCATCACTTGCAAAATCCTGATCCTCGGCCGCTGTAGTCTTGGCCCAGGCTCTCAAATAAGCAAGATCAATCAAACAGATCTCCCGCTGAAGGAGTGGTCTCGACCAATCTGGGTTGGTCGATCTCGCTGCCGTAGAATGCCTTGAACTGCCAAAAGCCAGGTCGGTCAACAAACACAAACGAACAGGAACGCTGTTTGTAAGTTGGTCTGGAATGGCAAGGCCGGGCACAGCCTAGGCACACTGCAAAGTCCTCGTCAGACAAGTGCCCCAAACCCATTCTTTTCAAGGCATCTTGCTTGACGTTCAATTGGTGCGGAGTCAACCCTGCTTCAACTCGTTGTGGGTCAGTGTCCTGCCGAGCCCCGTGTAACATTGCTAAGCTGCCACGAAAATATGCAAATGTGCAGCGTGACTGCACCGGACATAACATGTTGCTCCTAGTAGCGATGCCAGGAGCACCTAGTAGTGCCCTAGTGAGGCCAGGAGCTCCTAGTAGTGAGGCCAGGGGCCCTAGTAGCGTCCTTGCTTTCTCCTAAGTCCTAGTAGCGAGGCCAGGAGCCCCCTAGTAGTGAGGCCAGGAGCCCCTAGTAGACGTCCTTGCTCCTAGTAGTGAAGCCAGGAGCCCCTAGTAGTGTCCTTGCTCCTAGTAGTGGGCAGTGGCGTCCTTGCTCCCAGTAGTGAGGCCAGGAGCCCCCTTGCTCCTAGTAGCATATAATATATTTAAATCAAATCTAATAATCATATATTGGCACATATCATTATTTACAATTCATTTACTTAAAGCAAACAATACACGTCACATGACTGACTGACTCAACAATGAAATGTTTTTCTCAACATTCCATCCATGTCCATCACAGGCCGTCGCATTCCACATTCCACCGTGAAATGGTGCTGTGGACAAACCCCAGCGGCCAGGAAAGGAGTCGGATTGGTCAACGTCGTGAGGTTATTCTCTCACAGCCTAAGTCCTAAGTCTACTACTGTAACTTCAGTCTCCTGAGCGTCTTACTCAGTTCAGCAAGTCGAGTCAGCATCGCGCCGATTACGGGGTAACCCAAAAACTCCATGTTCAATGTTTTATTAGTTAGAACACATCAAGATCAAAACAACAAAGTCCAGCATCTCACACACTAGCAGCGCACAAACAGTTCAGTTAAAGTTCAGTAACATTGGTTGGGAGCGCGGATGAATGACCTGCCACAGCCGCTCACTCAGCCCACTCACTCAACGTTCCCTTTGCCCGACTTGTCGGAAGCAGAGGCATCTTCTTTCTTCTTTCCCTTTTTCGACGGAATCATGGACGGCGGTGGCATAGATTTCAAGTCCTGCCACGAGTAGTACAGCGGCTATACGCTAGTTGTGTCAGTCTCACTTCCATGGTCTCCGCAGAACATGAACTGTCAAAAGTCATGAGCGTATTCAGTGTTGCTACTAGTGCAGTACAACATGCAGCATACACAAAAAAAAGGTAGCAGTAGTAGTGTAGTTGTAGTTGTAGTTGTAGTTGTAGTTGTAGTTGTAGTTGTAGTTGTAGTTGTAGTTGTAGTTGTAGT